ACAGTAGAGGATGAACATTTGGAAAATTTGAGTGATTGTAAATAGATGGATTTCAATGCAAATTGTCCATTTCATGATTATTCTCAAAATATGAGCTAGACGAAATAGTGGCGAAACTATTGAGATCCTTCCTGATTACAGAATTCTGTAAAGGTTACTCAAGCTGAAAAGACAGTTTCATCCTTGGTTAAAAATTGGCACCAAATTGAATATTCAATTAATTCTGTTCAGCTGCTATATTATGGAAGACTATTTTCTTTTTGGAAGTGATTTTATAACAATGATTCATTAATTCTAATAAGCTTGCACAAACCATCCACTTGGTCAGTATTAACATAGCTGGGATTCTCTAATAATTTACAGAAATCATGCCAGGAAATCAATCCATTGCTAATAGTGTTTGGAACTGAGGTTTGTAAATTTTGTCCAGGGAGTTTGAATATTTTGTCTGAGTTACTGATCGGCAAACCATTCGTCTTCTTTTATTTCTACGGAGAAGAAACTCCACAACACCATTGCCAAAACATTTTTTAAATTGTTTATTATTTTTTTAATTTTAAAAAAAATGAGAAAAACTCTGATTGGCCGAAAAGCTGGAGACTCGGACCAATTCAAAGAGAAAAAGTCGGCAACAACAACAACATCACGATCAACATTCTCTCTAGGAATACCCTTTAGGAAGAAGAAGGAAGCTCCTCCTGATAAGAGTAGTACATTTACGGGTGAGAGAAGGAGAAGTGATGATTCGAAATTAAATGATTTATCATCATTGGAAAATGGTGAAAAGAGAAGGTCTTCATTTTCGGAACAAAATGATAAAAGACAATTCGGATTGATTATGGATCAAGAAAATTTGGTTTCGAAAGAAAACTTTAAATTAACTGATGATAACATGTTAATGCCTGGAACTGCAGACGAATATAACGAGGATTTACTTCTTCACAAAGGTTATTTAGTGAAAGAGGGAGGAAATATTCACAATTGGAAGGTAAGATATCTAGTTGACTAGAAATTATTTAAAATCAAATTAGAGGAGATATTTTAAATTATTCACAACAAGAATAGAATACTACAAGGATGAGGAACAAACCAAAGCCATCAAGAGCTTCCCAATTACCAAATCTACACAGGTTGGTGAAGCCCCTGAAAAAGGAAGCTCTAAACCTAACACTTTCAAGGTTGTGACAGCCGATAGAACATTGTTTTTATCAGCATCAAACAGAGAACAAATGTTCGATTGGATTAAGAAGATTACAACAGCAGCTCGGTCTATACATTTAGTGAAACCAAAACTAATGTCTCCATTTTTACATTTGCAAAAAGTGCCACTACTTAAAAAGAGTGCACCAAACTTTAAGGATTATTTAAGCTCTGCTGTAGAA